AACATGTGCACTGACAATCTGCATCTTGACGACAAAGGAAGGTGCAAAGTGAAATCAGCTTCAGACATCTGGAACGTTCAAAAATACCTCCGACCCGCTTCACGATGCATGTATTTGAAAAAAAATTGCGTGTTTTGCGCGCACTTATTTCCCAACCCAACATGGCCGAACCCGAAGGGCGCTACATGCGGTCTTGTGAATGGCTTTGTTGTTAAGACTGCACATGCAAACACAGGCATGAACCCTGCGCTGCATCCAACCGCTAGAGCGAGCCATTAGATGATGTGTCCAACATTGCATCGCGCAAACACATGAATTTGAAGATGGCCGAACTTTTAACTTTAGTCGAGGGGCCATTTAGCGCCTTTGTTGCAATGACACGGCTTGAAGAGCCGGATCAATCAGTCTCATGTGGATTTGTTTGCGCCTACTAAATGCGGACACAGTTGTAAGTGATGTGGGTTTGACTTGTATAGTGCATTTCCTATTCAAGGGTCCATTGGAAAAAGCCAAAGGAGATGTGATGATGACTGCGCAATTGGGTTTTTGCCGGGATGTTTTTTTCCATGTCGGAACCTTTGTTTTCCATCTTCGTGGACGACAACATGGAAAATCTCTGGCGTCGTGGATATACTCACAAGATGTTGATGTGCACAAGCAGAATTTACTTTGGGTATTTTCGACATGCAGCAAGGATCATTGAGGAGTTTGTAGAAAACAAGCCACGGAAGCGCCAATGAAGATGCGGAACGCCTATCATGCAGGTACACTACATGGTTGATGGTACTACAGAAAGAAAGTACGATTTCATCATCATAGCAAGAAGCAAGATTGAAGAAGAAGGGGGGACAAGCCTCGGAGCTTGTACCTTGCTCAATGTGCGCCGAAAAGGAAAAGAAAACGATACAGTGGACTTGGTATACGAGAAACAAGAACAACAATACACGCAAACCCATATTGCTCTTGCAAAAGGCAATAGAAGGTGCATCTACTCGAAATTTCCTAAAACGCCATCATCATGCGACGGGTAGGCACGTGACGTTGAAACGGCAACACCGCACCTCTGCGCCGGGACAGCCACACGGCTGCACAATCCATCCCACTGTATACCGGCCCTTCCTGGAGGATTCCCTCGGTGCCAAAAATACCATCCCTCCCTTGGTATGCCCATTCAAGCCATGGCGCACAGCAACAGCGAGGAAAAACAAGCCGCAAACAACGAATAGTTAGTAAACCCAGCCCGAGCGCGTCACGGGGCTAAATCCAACGGTCGGGATCGCGCCAGCACCCTAGCCGAGCCAGTCGTGGGGTCCAAAAAGAGTTGTCTTGTCTCTGCCCTCCCCCTGTCCACAAGAACAGGAAGAGAGGGCAGAGCTCAGCGGGCAGCGCACAGACAAACCCAGTTTCCAGCCCCCTCTCCCCCCATCCCCGCCCGCACAACAACCTTTTTTCCCCACCCCTTGCTCCATCGCACGCGACGCCGCGAAATTTACCCAGATAGGCTTGATGCTGCGAGATTGAAAATCCACCTAGCGCTGATAAGGTATAATGCCCTACCTTTGCGTCGGTGGGGCCCTGGGCTTTCCCTTCTTTCCTCTGCTCCCACCCATCCCACCCCCTTGTTCGCTGCCCCACCACCTGTCCGTCTGTCCGCACCGCAACCTTTTTGGCTTGCTAGGGTCGGGTTGAGTGTAAAAGCGGCACTGCGGCATATGCGCGACATGGGGGTGGTGAGCGTGTGTGTGTGCGCGCGCTGAGAGAAGGGGGCAGCACTGCGATGCAGGGGTAAGCGGGCAATATGTGGGGAATTTTATTCTATTGGTGGTGAAGCCAACACGATGTGCATTTTTTGGTGGTTTGCTAACCTGTTCTCTCTCCTGTCGAACGTTCATTTTCGGCATGTTCCGTTTTCCTTTTTTTTGCTCGTGACGTTTGCACTTCTCGAGCCATGCGTTGCAGCCGCAGTCTTTTTTCTTCTTGCTGATTTGCGCCTGATCTGGGCTCATCTTTCTCAACTTGCGGGTTGTCACTGTGTCTTTTCTCGTCCGTTTTCGGATGCTTGCTTCCTCGCGAGTTTAAATTATTCATTGGTCTGGAACGTAAGATTTTGTTTTCCTATTGGGTCAAAATGGCATGATTATTTTCGGCACGTGTCTGACTTTTCCTTGTTTTTTTTTCATGTGCAAAATATGGATTTGGACATGGACAGGGTTGGAAGGGTTCCGAGGCTGTTGTACACATTGAGAAAATTATACGGTGTAGACGAGCTGTTATCGGAACGTCGGAGTATCGGAGGTCGGGGCGCTGGGGGGGAGGTAGATTGTGATTGCTCCCATGCCGGCAGGGCTTAATTAGCTTTGACGACGTCAGCACCCGCCAATGTGCATTGTTTGGGACTGCGCAAAGCTGCTGTCTTGCTATCCAATCTGCGACTCATGCTCACCGTCACCGTCGCTTACCCTGGCTTTTCCAGTTCATCAAAGGGACAAACTATATGTTTGACGAGTACAAGTGCACACATGGTATGTATGCTTAGTCGGATACCCTGCATATAATTCTGCTCGGTTACACCAAAATATACATGTCTCATACACAAGGGCAGATGAAATTACATACCGCTGCCCCCCCCCTTCCTCATTCACACAACCACCCGCAACTTCCTGCTACAACCGCTACGCCCGTAGGCCAAATCACCGCCAAGGCATCTCGTTTTCGGCCCGTTAAACGGTTCGCACTTAACGACCTTGCGGGCTGCAAAGAGGCCTATCTATAGTATTCATCCTTCCAAATCAAGTAATTTTCCGGACCACTTGTTCAGCTCGTCCCTTGCGCCCTTTTGCACCATTACATACAAGCCTTACTCACGCAGCGGAAGGACAAGAAAAGTGTGAGTACCTCGCTGAGCGGCGCAAAGAAATACGCCAAAAAGGAAATTACCACCAACTTGTAGTTTAGCCCCCCCCGGCTACCCGCAGATTTGGGAGCTGAAAGAAGAACACTCAAACGAAAAAAAAATAATTAAATCGTAAACGCTTGAACAAAGCCCATACAATGACATTGCTGGCATTCTGAGCATCCAAGCAGGCAAGCAAGCAAAAAAACCAGAACCTTGCCCCAAACCAGTAAACCCCCCACCAACGCTATCCCCACAGCGGCAATAACAAGCGACTCTGTAATAGCGATCGGATTCTCTTTACCTCCTCTTCTCCCCACCAAGCCAGGGGAACGGGTAGGGGTTACGCCCGACGTGTCTACCCCCCAAGTCGGACCGACCCCCAACAACCCAAATCCCCTTGTTAACAGCCTTCGTATAATGCACAAAAAAAGGCGAACAAAAAAAGTTGAACAAGCCCCCCCTCTCCTCGACCCCATGTTGTATCAAAACACATGCTTGCAACTTTGACATTGTGGCGCGAACACGCGATCGGGAAGAGGGGGGGGGGTAGAATACGCATATTACGCATATTACGCATTAACGTGATTCAGCCCAAAACACAAAAGCGCCATTCCCGTCGTCCTTAACTTACGCTTATTATTTTACTCGGAAACTTTGAGCGAAAGCACACCGCCCATCATCACACTAGCCCTTAGCAAAGCGAAAGCCAAAAAAGAAAAAAAAAAGCCAGAAAAGAAAAGCGAACATGGGTCGTGCACAAGTTTCTCTCTCTGTCTCTCAATCCACACCGATATCCTAGATGTATATCTAATCTCACTACTATTTTTTTCCCTTTCTGTTTTTCCCATGACTTCTTCTTCGCTTTTGTAAGCCCCACACCCCATATCCATCCATCTACCCATTCGCCAAGCGCTAGTTTTTTCCGTTCAAGAAAACCCAGAGAGATAAGGTTTATTTTCGGGGAAGGGGGAGCATATGGAAAACCCATAGCATCACCGCCTTAAAACAGCGCCCAGGGGGCAGGTTCGGGGCCGCGCTGGCGCGCGCGCGGTGCGGCGGGCCAGGCTGGATGGACTGAGCGCAGCAGCGAAGGGGTGACCGGTGGAGTGGGTCAACCTAGGTCTCTTTTTTGTCGGGTACGTACCTTGAAGGCTTAAAAGGTTAAAGAAGGGTGGTGCATGGGCCTTGTGGTTCGGTGGTTGTTGCTTGCTTGCTGGGTGACGAACGGGCGTAAGCCGGTACGGGTAATACGCTCCCGAATAGACAAAGGGCGTAAATTCCTATAGTAACTATAGTTATAGTAAGTTATTTTATCTGGTACGTTTGATTTTTTTGGTTGTCGATCGCGGTTCGGGCAGAGCGAGATCAGCAGACGGCGCTTTGGGGAGGTGGGTTGGTTTGGTGGTGGGGCGCGTGCACGGCGTGTGTGTGCGCCAGAGCTGGAAGAAACGGGGTTAACGGCACCAGTGGGCGTTGGCTGGTTATGTCATGGCAACGGAGTTTGGGGGGGGGGGGGTTAACGGAGATTTCAAAAGGCCGATGCAAGGAAGGGGGGTGGTCGATTTGTGTGCGCCATGGGGTGATATGTGATGTGCGGCGTTGTGAGCGGAGACTTTTTGCACGATGAAATGAGCATTACTAATGTGCTATGAGCGGGGACGTAGATTAAGTTCAGGATACTGACCCGATGGTCCAACGATGAGAAAAGGCTATTTCTTTGTGCCTTGCATGATCCAAGTGCTGATATTCAGCTGAATGCTTTCAGCTCTATGCTGATACTGCTCACCACGTTCTTCTTTCTTCCATTTACCGCTTTCGTCTCTTCAATCTCGAGTTGCATAGAACTGAATTCCTGGGAGCTGAAGTCTAGCTATAGTCCGTACAGATTGGGAAAATGGTAGTTTTCCCAAAATTGAAACCCCTCTGGTGACTCACTTTCATGCCCTGTCTCTCATATTCGGGTCGTACGATCGTGAAGGTCCTGCCAGTTGGTTGCTGTATGCGCGGCTCGTCATCCTGTACCAGCTCGGAGGTATCAATAACTCTTATATGCACCCCAAAGACGGACATGTCGCATCCATGATTCCCTATACTGTATCGTCTCTCAGGCAGACGGTGGTCCGAAACGAGGCCATCCTCCATCAGGCACGTCGTCAATGTGGACGAATCGCCAGAATCCGTATATGAGACATAGGAAGACAAGGACAACTAGCAACTGTCCAAGCCATTCGGGCAATGCGCGATCCGTCGGGTCCATGTCGCTGCTGGCTATGGACGACTCTTCAAGGAAGTGGCTAAAGGTGCCATAGTCTGGCGGCGCACCGCTCGTCGCAATGGCATCGTTGTAGGAGGGTGGTGGCTCATCGTGACGTGGAGATTCGTCAAGTAATAGGTGTAAAGGCGGTTCGTGAGGGTCGTCGTCGTCATGGTGGTCGGATGCATCTACTCCAGGTGGGGTAGATGGTGGATTGTATGAGGCCTGCCATGGTCAGCCCCGCATTGGATGTGTATGTGTGGCTGTCTTCGAGAACGTACCGGCGCTGCGTCGTGCATGATACATTAGCCACAGAGGTTAGCTGACCGTCTGCCCAGGCGTCATGGCGGTGGTGATGGGGATGGTGGTGGAGTGGCGGAAGGTCGCGTGTGGCGCGCGTCATAACGGCGTCGCATGTGAAAGCCCATGTCGCACTTCGCGGGTAGGCGGTCCGAGCTTTGGCGAAGCGCTGCGTGTCGGGTTGCGACAATGGCAAGACGTGGACAGATACTTTGATCGCACCGCGTAGGCAGCCATTGATTGTATCACACCCAGCTCTACCATCTGGTACAGCATGTTCCGTAATCTGCCATCCACCTACAGAAAACACACCAACCGCCGCACAAAATATGGCCGCTGATTCTGCTACTAACCTCCACATCTTCTCGCCTACAGGCTCCGGCCGCTCCAGTCCTGCCCCCCGGGCTTCGCGCAATGCCGTTGAAGAGCGTAGGTTTCTGTCCCTTCCAATCCGCTTCACTGTGTATGACTAATCTGGCCTGCGCAGCTTTGTACAAAAAAGACAAGGGATTCCGACGATATGCCGCTGGTGTTGAGCGCGCCCTCGCCCTTTGGGATACTGCCCAGCAGGAATGGGCCGACTACATTTCTTTCCTCGCCAGGCTGCTAAAGGTCAATACTGCCGTACCATCACGAAAATGAATCACAGCGCTTATTATGTGTCCCGTCCAGGCCTTGCAAGCGCACCCTTCAGAGATACCCGTTATCCCCCATAGCGATACAGTCGCACTGCGATTAGCGCAGTGCTTGAATCCAACATTGCCCTCGGGCGTCCACCAGAAAGCCCTCGAAGTCTATGACTATATTTTCTCTACCATTAGTGTATGCTCATTCTACACCCCGCAGGTCAGGTTGGCAGATGCTGACCCATGCCCAGAAAGACGCTCTCGCCCGTGATCTGAGCCTTTATTTCCCCGGCCTTGCCTCTGTACTATCCTTTGCCTCGCTTTCGGTCCGCCCACTCTACCTATCTCTCTTCGAAACGCACATCTTAAAGCTCGACGGAGCTGCCCTTCGGCCAGCCTTGAAGGCCATCATACTCTCGCTGCTCCCGGGTCTAGAGGATGAGACAAGCGAGGACTTTGAGCGCATGGTGTCAGCGACTGAGAAGCTACGCAATGCTTTTCAGGAAAACTCAAACGAAGTAACTGAATCGAGGACAACTAGTGGCTCGTCGCATTTCTGGCAGTGTTTCTTCCTCGCTACCATCACAAATGCATCCAGACGACAAGGTGCGCTTGCATTTCTCACACGCCACTTGCCCAAGTTCGGGAGTCCGGGTCGTCGAAACTCTCCACAAGATGCCTCAATGCCTCCCGAAACTCTATCGGCCGAAGCAGAGGCAGCCACATCCCCGGAGCCAGGTCTACTAATCCGTTGCTTCGAATCTGGCCTTTCCGATCCTCAAATACTTATACAGCGTGGATTTCTTGACTTACTCGTCACTCACCTGCCTCTTGATTCACCTGTCCTGCAAGAGCGCGTTGGTAAAGGGGACCTGGAGCGACTGGTCGCAGCAGCGGCTGGCGTGGTATCACGAAGAGACATGAGTCTGAACCGCCGACTCTGGGCATGGTTCCTCGGGCCCGAGCCTACAGCATCGGAAGCCAACGAAGGTGTCACTTCTCCAATGTCAGAAAGTCACAACGGGCCTGGAGATGCTTCTGCCCACCAAGCTGCTTTCTTCTCGCGATATGGTCTCGAGGCACTCACAAATAGTGTACTCAAAATGATTAATCGACGTAGCGAAACCCCCGCCGAGCGAGCACGTCCTTTTAGAGTTTGTCTATCTCTCATGGATCGTTGGGAGGTAGGTGGGTTGATCGTACCCGAGATTTTTCTCCCAGCCTTGCAGAGTGTCCACTCCTACAGCGAGGATGCCTCAAGAGATCAGGTTGACGAAGTAGTGAGAAGCGCCAGTGCATTCTTTGATGGCGTCGACAGCGGCTTGATTTGGGGTAAGCTTATCCACCTCGTCACGTCTTCTTTGCAGACAGATGTGCTCTCTCATAGTGAAGCATTACGGAAGATGAAGCTGGCAAAGTTTATCCTTGCACGTTTCAACCTCAAAGAAGAGGATATGCTATTGTATCACATGCCTCTGATGATTCTATCGACACTTACACACTTGAACGAGTCGTCCGACGCAGCGAGTATGACATCGGCAGAGATAGAAGTCAGGAATTTGGCTTTAGAGATTGTAGATTCGCTTGTTCAGGTCGTACCAGACCGTTCATTCCAGAGCGGCGAAGCAACGGACGAACAACTATCTGAGGCCCTCAAGATGACCCCCGTCAACGTGTCTCAGAAACTCCAAGAGTTCTATGAAGAATCTCAAGGGAGCCTTGACGCGGCAGATCCACCCTTTGATCCAAGGCAACTGGGTCAGATTGTTCTTCGTGATGCTTCACGAATGTTCATTGGGGCTTTGCAATCAACCAGCTCTCAAACCTCGGCCGAGACACCTTCCAGAATTCTTGCGAGTTTGATATTCAAAACCCAGTGCATGAAGGCGATTGAAGAGACCGATCTTCCAGCCGTATTTGCAGAAATTCTTCAAAAACCAGCTGATTTCCAGGTTGTCCTGCCATTCTCACTGTTGAGCGCCATAACCAGTGTTCTCCTGGCTCTCCAGACTGCACTTCCATCGGGTCCCTGCATTACCTCAGATCAACTTTCTGAGCTCGCCTACCCTCTAATCGAATATTTTTGGGAATACCTTTCGCCAACATTACCCAAGTATCATGTCGAGACAGCGCGGTGCTTACTGCTACTGCATTCGATGGCTCCAGCAACTCGAATGGTTGAGAGCGCCATATCATCCATAGTTGTAAAGCAGATATCCCAGACCCCCGCAATTGAAGGATTCTCAAATTGCGGTCGCCGATTCGCCACACTTTGGGCACATGTTATGCATGAGCTGAGCCTACAGTCAGAGAAGCGCCCAAGCACCACACGACGACCAAGTGGCAACGCTCTTCCTGTCTCACTTCCCGCCAACGACTTCCAGGCCGTGTTGACAAGGCCACTTCTTCTACTGCTAGATACAATCGCAGACGAAGGTTCCGAAACGTCTACCTTTATGCAAAGTTGGCTGCATGAGTTGCCGAGTTTGAACCGGATTATCGAAGTCCTCGCGGTTCACATTCAGTCGATGAATTGCTTGGCGGGTTCGAGCAACCTAGCGCCTGAACAGGCCAATTCAAGACGTTCACAGCTTTCGAAAAGAGATGACACTAAAGAGTGCTTATACTACCTGAAGCACATTTCCAATGTTGTGAAAAACCCATCACGTCTCACATGGGCTACGCTTGCTGAAATGACTGTCGCTTGGTCAGAAGATTCTACATTGCGAGTGACAATCCAAGAATGGCTTGGACGCACTTGCTTGAAGACGCTGGCGCTTCATGCTGGCGCTTCGGAAAAGAATGCGGAGCCACACATCCACGAATTGCACAGGCTATCTGTCTCGGTCATATCACAAATCTACCGCAGTCCATTTGCCACTCCACTTCGAGATCTGGAGCTTGAAATACCACTTATGAATAGACTGAGATCAGCAAACCCATCTTTGCAAAGTCTGATATTAGGCGCAGAGCTTGCTGCATTGAGACTCCGTCTTACTCGTCCGCAGGAGCAACCGCCTGAAACCAAAACACTCAGTCCTCCTACAACAAATCGGTCACGTCTCTCTTTGACGCTGAATAGAGAGTCTGAAGACAATGAGCCGGCACCTGTCCCGCCACCCCCACAGCTGATTGAATGCTTAAAGTTCGGCTTCTCATCGCCGACTAGTCGCTTGGTTCTTGAGGATTGGATACACTTCCTTGTAGAGGTGCTGCCGATGTTCGCTGATACCATTTTCCAAAACCTTCTTCCCCTTGTGGAATGTCTGTGCCAGCAGATCAATACCACATTCGAGCATCTCAAAACTACCTTTTCAACGAAGGAGGCACCCCTCATGATATCGCCAGAATCGACATTGATATCGCTTATGAATGGTCTGGAGCAAATCTTAGCCAAGGCACATGAACGTCTGACGACGCAAGAAACGAAGGTATCGGCCAACAAAACTCCTGAGCAGCCTCAAGGCTTCTTTAGCAATGTAGTGTCTGGCGTGTTCTCTTCCGAGACCAATCAGACGCGCACTCCCACAGCCAACAGTAGACTGACGGTGCTGCTTTGCTTCCAAGACACTGTTCGTATCTGCTTTTCCATCTGGTCTTGGGGAGGCTATGGGCAAAGAAAAGAAGCACAGGATGCTACGTCGGCATCTTCGTTTGCGTACACATCACTACGTATGCGCAACCGAGCTCGGCGCACGCTTGAGCATCTCTTTGGCGCTGAAGCATTGGAATGCCTGGAGACGTTGGCAGTGCTGTGGGCCCACGCGGCTCTCGATGATACTCAAGGACCGGCAATCATGGGGCTGCTAAACGTGCTGAATGGCTCCAAGCCCAAGCACACGATCCCAGCCATTTTCAATGCCGTCTATAGTCGAACTGATCCCGGTGCCTTGGATCACAGCCGGCTATCTACGCTGACGTCTGATCTTACTGACACTGAATTGGTTGCTTTCCTCGTCGAGTACACGGATTCTCTGGAGGATGACGCCATGGATGAAATCTGGCAAGACTGTATGCTGTTCCTCAAGGATGTTCTCGCGAATCCTCTGCCACATCGACAAATCCTGCCAAGCCTCCTAGAGTTCACTGCTGTCATAGGGCAGAAGGTTGACAACACCAACTTTGGCGAACAGCGCAGAATGAGAAGGGAGCTCGCTGTAAGTATGCAAGTTCGGTTTCATGAAGCTATCTAACCACTTGTATAGGATATCTTTGCAAGGATTCTCACTGCAATCTTCACAACGCGCTCGATGGGTTATCTGCAAGATTCGAGTCAAAGCACGGTTGAAAAGGCAGCTGCGACCACAAACGGAGGCCGTGCACAGAAACGAGCAACCGACGTTGTCTCTATTCTCAGCACTGTCGTACCCAAACTGCCGATTATCCTCGTTGAGAACGACCGGGTGACAAAAGTGGTGTCGGACATATCTACATCTGTCATTGGGCCGACGTTCCGCGCCAAAGCTTTTCCTGAGAATGTGTCGAGAAACATGCTGGACCTGCTCCAAGGCCTTGTCAAGATTTCACAAAACAACAAGCTGCTCAAGAAGGACATTTTTGACGCTTTCAATGACGCAAAGTTCTTCAATACGCCGCTTTCGTTGCTGAAAGATGCATGGGTGCCTATTTTGGCACAGTGGACACAGTCGGACAAGGAGCGTGTGCCAGAATTGCTATCGCGGCTGTCTGCGCCTACGACTGCAGGGATCATGTTTGGTGTTGGGGCTACATCGGCCAGGCAAGAGGCCGACCGAAAGACGCAGCTCACGCTACGACGCATCGCATTGCTCATTCTGAGCAGTCCGGAAGACGCGTTTACCCCCAACATAGCTCAGATTGTCGAAAAGATTGTGGAATTGCTTACGGCAACCCCGGCGTCGTCGCCTTCATCTGCCACGCGGGCCGAAGTCATTGTGCTGATACGTGCCATTATCCTAAAGACATCACCAGTACACCTGGCGCCATTATGGCCGGTAGTGAACGGCGAACTGACATGCGGTCTGTCAGCCATTCTGCCGGATGCAGCCAACAAAGAGCACTACAACAATGCAGGCATCATTCAAAGCTGCAAGCTATTGGACGAGCTTGTTGTGTTGGATCCAGATGATTTCCAGCTGATGGAATGGCTCTTTATTACCGACACGATTGATGCAGTATACAAGCCTGTCGAGCCGCCGGCGGTTATGTCGCTCACTGACGAAATCAACGAAGTGTTAAGCATGTCGTCCTCAGCGCCTGCAGCGCCTATGAGTGGGCAGCATGGGCCGGACGGGGATGAGGCGAAGACAGTGTTGCTTCTAGATCCGCTGATCGAGGCTTTGGAAAAGGAGGAGGGCGCAGCCGTTTTGGAGATGACTAGGGGGGAGCTAGTGAACCGATTGGTGCGGCCGTTCCTGGGAAATGTAGCAATGAACGCTTTTGAAGCGAGGTACGGAGGTGGGAAAGCGGATTGGCAGGGTGTGTGGGAGAGCGTGGTTGCAGACGCAGGGTTTTGAGGTGTTGAGGGTTGATTGGACCGGGCTGGGGTAGCTGTGCATGTAAGATCAAACTAAAGTGCTGCACAGTACAGGAGGTCAGCGTTTGTTGATGCCAAGCCGGAGTATAATCCACGGTGAATTATCATGCCTGCCAGTCGGACGGTCGGGAGTTGATGCGGGATTGGAGGGAGAGGAGAGGAGCTAGACAGATGGTGGGACACGATGGAGAGGGGAAAAAAGCAAATACTAAGGTTCTGGTGAAGAAGATAGTGTTGCGATGTTGGGCAGTCTATGTATTGAAAGTTGGAGTAGGAGGCAGGCCAAGCGTTTGGAGTAGGCGAGCTCTGTTTGGCTATCCGAGTGTCCGGTGAGAGGCTAGTGGTGCAACCTGCTGTCGTTCTTCAGGTAGTGTTTTAGTGGGGATGCTAGGCTGCTCACGAGCCAGGCCTACTACAGCTACACATGCCCTAGCAAACTTAAGCTGCACGTGGTGTTCGTGTCTAGACTCTGCTGTGGACACATGTGTTCTTGACAAAAAGAAAAGTATTTGCAATTGTGGTAGGTATATGTGTGGTTGTATCATCATGGCTATGCTTCACCTACCAGCATTTGTCGAGGGCGATGGCACCAAAAAGCACGTTGAACCACGATGGCCAGGGCTCTTGAACTGTCATGGACCCTTGAAATCTCACATCTCGGGCGTCTGGCGCGGACTAGTCGGTACGCTCGGTGGCTTCGGTACCAAGCGGACCCCAGCTCGATGAGCAGTTCAGCTCAGCTGTGCAGAGGCCTTCACCCATGGACGGCCAGTTGGAGAGGGCCAGCGCGGCCAGCGCGGCCAATGGGCATGGAGAGAATGCGAGAGCGGGTCGAGTACGCAATGCGCACTACTGTCATTTCGTACATGGAAAAAGCGGAAATCCATTTCGCTCTCCTCCGTGCGCACCGTTCCGTTGATCGCGCCGCCACACTCGCCTGCGGTTCCTGGGGTCTGGATTGACGCATGGGTGACCGGAGAAGTCAAATATCAACTCGCGAGCCCGGGAGAGTGGGAAAAAGTCCGTTTCTTCCTCATCTTGAGGCTGGTAGGATACGTCAGTGTTGGATGCACGACAGATTGTGAGCTGGGCGCTGCGGTCGTGTGTCGACAAGTGTACCGGATCCAGCCAGAGTCTCTCTGTTGATGGCGAGGCTCTGTCCAGCGCCCTCCGTACTACTGCTGGTGCTGGTGCTGGTGCTGCGCACTGGCAAGCAGAAATAATAAAATAAAACAAAAAAAAGACTTTGGTATATAACATGGCGCCCACCGCGGCTGCCAGGGACTTGTCGAGCACTCGAAAAAAAAGACACAGACACAGTCACAGTCACAGACACACACACAGAGACACCATGTCAAGTTGGAACAGTCATAGGATGATGGTGCAGCAACAGTCATCGCAAAAAGCTCCTCCTCGTCCACCTCCTGCTCCACGTCACTGGCACACGCATGAGGAGTGTCGATCGGCAAACCTGATTTCGCGGCACAAGAAAACACCACAAGACATGAATCCATATTCTGAAACACACACCGCAATGGCTTCATACCCAATGGGGGCGTGGGTTGGGGGCAGGCCTGGAGGCTGGACACAGGACCTCCACGTCACGAGCCCCATGTCACCGCCAGCACCATCTGACCCAACCACGCTCGCCTTCGCCTCATCATTCCCCCCACAGCCTCGCCAACAAACGACACCGACATGTGCTGTCCCCGTCCCGACTCTCCCCGTGCCACAGCAACCCAGGGCCATTACCGCTACTCGTGCTGTCGTTCCGGTGTGGCCGCCACCGCCGCTGCTAGCGCCGACACCGCAACTTGCGAACACTGGCGGTCTACCCAGCACCAGCAGAGGCAGCATCCCACGACCAGCACCCCGTGAACACTGCCTGCAAGATGACCTGTACTACACTTTCACGCGCGATGCCTACCTGTGTAGTGCCACCGCCGCGGCTAGAGAGGTTGCTGCCACCCTGACGCTGAACCAAGGTTATCACTGTGCTGGCCCTGCTTCTGCCCTTGCTGTTGTTCCTACAGCCACTACTGCCACCGCTATTGCTGTGCCAAAAGAGACGGTGAACAAGACTCACCGACGCCCACAACACCCATTAAAAAGACGTCTGCACGCACTACCGCCCCAAAATCACTCACCTGCAAAGAGACTTAGACTCCCTACCAATACCACTACCACTACTACCACTGCCAACAACAATAACAACAACGACCTGCACTTTGTCGACTCGTCCCTCTTCGCTACACTAAACGCAGCCATGATGGAAATCGCTAGCCGCCAACTCCCCACACACCAACCCATGTCCACTTCGTCGCCAAAAATATCCTTCAAGGACACCACTTGGACCTTCCCCAAGAAGCTCAAGAAGAAGCGTCCCCGACCCAGCGACATCTTCAACATCAACTTTGGCTTTGGATTCTCCTCTCGCCGCCGCCAATCATCAGACTACTCGCCTCAAGTCAGCCCGCGCACTAGCATCTCCTCCGCATCCGGTTCCCCAAGAACAGAAATGACCGAATGCTTCAAGAGGCAGCGGATCGACTCTTCCGGCTCCGACGCCGACGTCACGCGATCAAAGAGCGCAAGGCTGTCCATCATCACACCCACCACCAGCCACACCCAATGCTCTGAGCCACACCCAGGCCAACTCGTCGACTTCACCCAAACTCCACCTTCACTTCCTCCCTCACCACCCCCGGTCCCGGCCCCCGCCATGCAACTCCCTCCTTCCCCCAAGCAATCTCCCAAGCTCCTCCCCAAGAGCAACCCAACCAACGAGCCTAGCCTCCGCCTCACCACCGACGCCTACCACGAGTACCTCGCCACCACCCAACGCCGCAAGTCCTTCCCCGCCGGCGAATGGGCCACCCGCCGCATCCGCGAAGAATTCCAGATCCTAACCAAACTCGACGCTGGCCTCACTCGTGAAGAGGAAATTGAATCCATCGACCCTCTTGACACTACTACCACTACTGTCACTGCTGCCAACGACATCTCCCTCATCGCACCCTTTGACACTCCCGCTACTACCACTCAGCCCATCGAAAACTCAAACTGCGAACTCCGCCGCACAACCAGCGATCCCTCTACCGAGCGCTTCCTTCTGCACATCCGTGCTAGCCTCGAGGCCCGCAGGACCAAGAGCGGAAACAAGACATGGCAGTCCTACCCTGTTTTCGCCGATGAGGTCGAGAAGGGATTTTTGGATGATGCGCCTTTGTAAAAAACAACAACAACCACACACACACCCACGATTCTTCTCCTTTCTTTCTTTCTTTTCTTTCTTTACCTTTGCCTTACTAGCGGTTTTCTTGCATCTTTGTACTATATGTAATACTTCCTTTTTTTTTCTCCTTTCTCTTACGATTTCCTTTTTGTTCAGGGATGTATAGGATGAAGTTTCCATCTCCCACTTTTTTCTTCTTCTTCTCCGGGGTGAATTGCGGGTCAATTCTGCCCGAGGAGGAGAAATCAGCCATCCTTTCGATTTTTTTATTTCGTTTGTTCTAGGGAATTTTTCTTTTTTGCATCACAAGGGAACCGGAGCATATGTGTGTGTGTAGCATTATCTTGGCATGACAGCATTAGCATGAAAGCGAGCGATTGGAACATTTTAGCATAGATACCCCCACCCAACCCACATAGTTTACCTTGAACCGATAGGTTCCGGTTTGAAAGAGGTAACTAGAGATGAAAACGTCTCTCTGATTATGAACTTTAATATTACGATTACTACATCTACATCTACCTCTCTTCTCCATCTCTGTCTTCGTGCTCCACTCTCCACTGCTCTTCCTTCCCTCAAAATTACCAAGCAAAAAAAAAATCCCCCCCATCTTTAACACACCCGACCCTTCATCACCGACTCTTCCACCTCACCCCCCCAACCCACCGTACCCACCTCTCCACCCTCTCCTTAATCTCCCCATCCCCATGCACACCCCCCGCAACAATCAACTCAACCGTATAAAACCCCCGCGCCAACTCCTCATTCCCCACAAGCCCATGCACAAAACTATGACACGCCCTACACAACCACGCCACGCTATTCAACATTTCCTCTGCATGCCACCCGCGCTTCAGCACGCGCGCATGCGCAGACTTTGGAATGAGGTGATGATACGTCAGCGGTACCCAATCTCTACCGCACAACTCGCAGGCCGAGGTGCGTGTGCTGGACCAGATGGGCGGGGGTGCAGTCACGGCGTTTATGTAAGCGGTGAAGAGCGGGGTGACGAGGTTGTGGTGGTCGGTTTGGTCCGAGGATGGGGGTAGGAGGGCGTAGGATTCTAGGCTGTCGATTGCGACGGGGGGGATGCTGGAGAGGACGAGGTTGCGTGTCTGGGCGGAGAGAGGGGTCGAGTAGGATTCTTCGAGGGAAGGGGTGGTTGTCATGAGGGTGTGGCTGAGGGTGCGGAGGGAGGCGGGGAGGCTGGGGAAGATGAGGGCACTGAGGTACTAGAGGGTGCGGGTTGTTAGTTGTGCTAGAAGAAAGGAATTGACGGATGTCTGTACTTCGATGAATTCGCCTAGGTCTTCGGCGTCGTTGGTTTGCAAATCTGTATTGCTATTTGCAGTGGCTTTTTCTTCCGGCGCAATATCGCTCTTTCCGCTCTTTGATCCCTTCTTCGCGTGGCGCTTCTTCTTCGGCTTGGGCTTCTCCGTCGGCGCGGCTAGCGCTTTGAGGACCACATCGCTCATGCAGTCGCGGAATGTTTCGTAGTTGGATTGCTCCTCGGCGGGAATGGGTTCAGCCATGTTCAATTGATTCGAAGCAAAATGTATTGTTCAAGATATGCGTATGCGATTGTCTGCGCATAGTGGCGGGCATCAGCGGCGATGTCATGGTGTTTTTGTAGTGTACGAGGCGATGACGAAGTCGTCAACTTTCGCGTTCGCGAGGCGAGGCGCTAGGCGGGGTCGTGAGCAGAAGGGCGCTGCAAGGGCTTAACGCCCGTCAGACGAACTCGTATCTGCTGGCGAATCTTCGAGATGGGATTCCGATCGGATTGCAGCCTGGGGCTGACCTGCTGGTGTTTGTTAACTCGCAGCGCCTGTATCCACCCACTGCTGGGATTGTTCTGTCATGTGTTGGCACCAGCCCATTCGGAAAAGCAAAAGCAATGACGCAAGTTGGAGCATAGTGTGGTGATCTTGAATTCTCATCATATTCTTCTAATAATCCAATCAGCAGAACATACGCTTGCTGAATATTACCATGCCATCTCTCTTTGCGCTCGTCGTATTCCGAAAGATTGAGCCGTTCACAGGACATGAGAAACACGAGCATCGAGCCCTCTTCCTTTGAATCACAGACCAGCATTTTACTGATTTTAGGCCTTCTTCTTTCCGCCCTTGGCAAGGCGGTTCGCTTTGCCCAGGGCCTGCTCCCGTCTCCTGGCCTCACGCTCCATGAGTTCCTTCTTCTCTTTCTCAAGCTCAGCACGTTCCTCAGCCTCGGCCTTCTTTCGCGCAGCCTCGGCCTCCCTACGCTCGCGAACCAGCTTTAAGCGCTCGAGATCCGCACGCGCCTGCTCGGTCTTGCCTTCGGCGTGCAGCTTGTCGTATCGATCTTTGTTGGCTTGCGCTTGGAGAGCCTCGCGCTCACGACGGGACAGCTGCGAGAGGTCCTTTTGCTTGCCCTTGCCCTTGGCTGCAGAATCGTCCTCTTCCTCAACGGGTGCTTTGGTAGCTTGTGTGCGGGCCTTGGCGGTGTGATTTGGGTTTGCGGGCATATCATCGTCCTCCTCCTCGGAGTCAGTGGGCATGTCACCTGCCTCGGGTGCCTTTTGCGACTTTTTCGCTATCGCGGCCTGCTTGCGCTTCTTTGCAAGTTCACGGCGCTGTTCACGTGTCAACTCTTCTTGTGCGGGCTTGCCCTCCTCGTCCTCGCTAGACTCCTCTTCTGACGATTCCTCCTCACCGGAGGATTCTTCGTCAACCTTGTCGGGTTGCTCCTGTGACTTGTCGTTAGTTTTTGTGTTTCGGGCATCTATCAGGGCAAGTACGTACACCCCACATGCCGACTACCTCGCCATCTGCATTTAGCGGTTGCAAGTCGCGTGAAAACTTCTTGCCGCCTCCGCGCTTGACCTTGTTGAACTTGCCGCCGCGACCACGTGCTGAGGACATGTTGAGTATGGGTTGTGACTGTGGGAGTCAAGGGTGTTCGATGTCGAGTCTGATTGCAAGTCGTGCCCGTGTACACGGTGGACGTTTCCGAGAACTATATGAGGTCCTTTACGTATGGTGAGCTTCAAACGGGTAAACGCCTCAGGAAGGGTATGAGTTGGTGTTGGGGTGATTACACCGGGGAAGCAGGAGTGGTCTAGTCGTGAAAGCGAGCCTGTCGAACCACGGCATGTCAGCCTAATATCCACATTGCACGCAGCGAAGCGAGCCTGTTACTTACCTGCTACACCGCTATGCAAACAATCTTCTTGGTGTTGTCCAAAGAGTCACCCTGGCCGGCCCACCAACAAAAGGTAACAGCCCCGCGCCCGCCAAATTCCCCTGCCCCGCCATTCCGTCCTCGTCACACAAAACGCGCCATTCTCAATTCGCCAGCCTGACCCCTGCCCCACCGCTAGTCCGCATGCCAACAAGCGCACATTAGTCATCTGAAATTCTCGCAGCAACAAAATCAGCGCGTCGCCCTGTCCCCTTCTGCTCACTAAAACTGAATACCCCTTTATTCACTCTGTGTCTTCCACTTCCATGGAGATTCGGAGGGGAAAAAGGAGGTTAGAACAACCTCGCGTTCGCTTACCTCCTTCTCTTCTGCGCTTTGCGCTGGTGGAGCGAAGGCAAATTTTTTGGACGGTACATACTTTTGCGTGCATGTCATGTTGCGCACTCGGCCTTGCGCCACCATAATCAGGCTGCGCAGACCTCCGTGATTTGTGAATTCTCCACTCTCAAGCCGTGTCCCTGCCTCAGCTGTGAGTAGCATCACGATATACGCGATGCGACTTGTGTCTGATTCTGAAAGACTTCTCGCTTGATGCGTTAGCTTGGCTACGGCTCTTTGTTAAACTCTGGAAATCACCGTCAACCGCGTAGACATCATGGCACGGCTTTGACATGAGAAAAACAGCACAGGAATTGATGCTATCCATCCATTTTTGTTCCTAAGCCTCATCTCTGCATGTCAAGAAAAGCTACCAAAGATCATCCCATGGCCATGACATGTTTCTCGTAGAACACTAAAAGTCGGCCATCGCATGAGGAGGAAAAAAGAAAGAATCCTCCGGCCAGCTACATTCGACCCATCGTCCGTAGATCCACTGCTCCCTCGCAATCAGTATCCTTTCTTACCCACTGAGCAAGCATGAACCTCCTCCACCCATAATGCCAGCCCTTATACCCTTGTGGCGGCTCCAAAGTCCACCCATACCTAGATGTACCACATGACATCCTTGAGGCTACGCGCGTTCTGGATAGGCATCAAAGGACCAACCTGGACTTGCTGCTTGGAGGAACCAGCCAATGTTTCCTTCTCAGCCTTGGCCTCTTTCTTTCCAGACGAGACAGGGCTCTCGTTGATATGGGCACGTGAGCGGTCCGCAGCCAAGTGAGCATAGTAGACGGCCGGATGCATCGAGACTGGAGTGGTCGAGCGCACATATTGGTACGAGTGTTCGAAGATGAACTGCTGAAGCTCGGCAGCCTTCCAATCACCCTCGTTCAGAATGCAGTGGTAGTGGATAGGACGTGCCGTACCCTTGATGGCAACGTGGGAGCAGAGATAAAAGTCGAACTCGAACGGATGTGTGCAGCCACTCTCCACCAACGTGCCCGGGAGAGGGTTGTTGTTGCGATCGCCCTTGCCATTTTCGGGGAAGAAGCGGATGTGGTGACGCTTGCCAGCAATCACAACCGTGAACTTGGGAACTTCCTTGCAGCCCAGCTTCTTGAAGCATTCCTTCATGTCGTTGACTTCTTCTTCAAGTACTGCAGCGTACTGTGCCTCGCCGACTCCGTCGCGAATGTAAAGAACCCGCTGCGGAGGCCCACCCTGACCGATCTTCTGCATCCAAGCCCTGGCCATGTACCCGAAGTGATCATCGATGTTGGAGGTCGTAATCATCTCGACGCGGTTTCCGTTGGTCTGAACCTCAGCCCAGTACCTTGCGAAGTGGACGTCTGCAGACACGGTGATGGCAGCAAATGAAGCAGCTTCGGCAGAACCAGCTCCAGGAGCAGGATGGGAGACGTCAGCGCCGACTACCATTGTAGGAATCGATGCAGCCTTTGGTGCAATCTTCGGAATTATCTGGGACTTTGCGATGCAAGTCGCACCACCAAGCTTGGCATTGATCTTCATGCACACGTTGGAGATGTACTGCGGCGAGGCAGACATGACGTGCTTGGCCTGGAGCACCTGTGAAGCCACACCAAAACGGATATCACAAGACTTCTTGATGCGGCGGTACACGTCAGCGTTCCGATCGTTGACAATGAAGATCATAAGGTTGGGTGGCGTGGAGTACCTGTGAATAAAGTCAGTGACAGCTCTGCGAAACAAAGCAAAGGTTCCATAGCTTACTTGTTGCCAGTCTGGTTCCAGACCTTCTGGACTACAATCAAGTTAGCGTGCATTGTAGAGATTTAACAAGTGTGGTTACTCACCCAACTCTCCACCGTCTGCCAGATTTCCCGGACCCATCCAGGGCTTCTTGCCATGCTGGGGATGGGAGAGGATATGTCCTCCATGGGCTTCATAGATCTGAATCAGCTTGAGGGCAAAGCTCTCAACAGCTGTGGGCGGTGGACTACCACGACCCTGGATAACGCAAATGCCCCAAGCCTTAATGGGACGCTCCTTGTTTGGCATGACGAACTTTCGTCCGTCCAGCCTCCATCGGCCTTGAATCATGTCGGCAGGTTTGATGGTGGCTTCCTTTGAGCCTGGACCAAAATGAACAACTGGCGAAGGCAGGACACGAGCCTGAACCTTCGCGGCGTTAGGGTTAACCTTGATTCCATAGTGACTGAGGTAAGGGTCATTGGCCCAGTTGAGGAGACGAATGCCATGCTGAACCGCCGCCCAGCGGTCCTTGGGAAGGGTGACAGCAAACTTGATCATGTTCGACGTCTGGGTGTCACTGAGCTTTGTGTTGTAACGCTGATTGGCGTCGATCTTGAGGACATCAATCGGCATGTACACAGGCTCGCCGCGAATCTTCTTGGTCATCCTCACCACTGGAACACCACCTAGGACGGTGATGCTGTACTTCCTCTTGAAGTACGCTGCAACGGAAATCTTCTTGGAGCGGTCATCGGGGTCTGAGAACGTGGCTTTGTGTGCGTCCAAGTTAACGAACTCGTCGATGGTCCACTGGACCGGCTCCTTCGTGTGGGCCGTGGATACGCCGATGCGCTTGAACTTCCTCAAGTCTTTTTTGAGCATGGAGCGGTCCCAATCGCGGAGCGCATTCTGAAACATGCTCGTAAACTGTGGAGGACTACAGCTGAATGCTTGGCCAATGGCACGCGTGAGCTCTTGGGCACGCCAGAATGTCCCATTGGCGACATCGACGTTGACGGACAGTGACTTGTTGAACTTGTCATCGAGGACTGGGCGGAGGGATGTGAAGACACCTTTGAAAGCTTCAACACCTCCGCCAAGGTCGAAGCGTTGTTCTCCTCGCTGGAAAAACGATTTTTTGATCATCGTGTACTCTTGTGAAGGCCACATGCGCATAACATGATCAAGGAAGTTCAGTGTATCAATGCAATCGTTGGACCACGCTGCTTGGCCGCTCATGAACGACTTGAGGCCGATGAAGTCGACCTGACGAGTCCAGCGAATATGGACAACATGCTTGTTGCCCTTACCGCCAGGTTTCGTAGGACGGCCTTGTTCCTCGTCAAGATCAACGGCAATGCGTGTGTCGTTACGGTCTAAGCGCTTGGTGGACCATGCAAGCTTATTAGTGTCCCATATCCATTTGTTTGCCTCGCCCAGGGAGGACTTGACAGCGTTCGAGTTCCAGATCTTCTTGAGCAGGACGCGCTTGGTATAGTCAGCGCCGTCGCCAGTGAAGTGAAGCTTGAGGATGTTAGCAAGGCCAAGAAATGTATAATGAGCCACAATTACTTACATCATACTGGTGAACAACGGTGTTTGGAGCCTTGTCGACATTGAAGGTGTTGAGAGTAATGGTAACGGTTTTGCCGTTCTGGTTGAAGGTTTCGGGACGTGCAGGTAAGTCACTTCCAACGTTGACCTGAAAGCCCTTGTCAGCAATTATTTCCGTATGAACAAAGAGACGTTATGATAGGAGTGGTCGAAGAAGGAGGTATGATCGACCTCAACATTGGGGGTGCTGATGCATGTGCAGGCTGAGACTGAAAGGTGTTTGTACTTACACCTCGAGCGGCGCACCAACCACGCATACCCAGGAACTCGGAAAGGTTTTTGAGGTCATTGGGCACCGTATAGTCGACCGCCTTCCTATCGCTGGGGTCGCGATTGCCATCAAGGCGAGGGATCGATTTGGCGGAACGCTGAGTGAGGTCGCGAGACTGAGAAGCCGAATCGTTGGACGACTCGCTTGACTTCTTCTCGGCCTCAGCGCGCTTCTTCACTGGACCAGCCATTTTGGACTGCGGATGCCGTGTTAGTGATGCTTGCAGCTGAGGTATGAGGGTGTGCCAGATGAGGTGGCTGCGGTGATGGACTGATGCAGTACACTTGATGCAGCTTAGATGATATCGATACGTACCTTGTAAGAAGACTGGCTTCGGTTGGGGCCTGTTGTAGAGTACGTGTTCAGGCCGGGTTGCCGGCTGGATCTGAGGCAAGTCAGTGAAGTTCACAGATAGAACCTGAGCCTTTGTGGGTTCCAGGTTACGAAAGTCGGTGGTAGAGTTAGACATACGATTTGAGGGATGTATGGAAGAAGTGTTGATGGTATTGGAGAGTGGGGTGTAAGGTAAAGGGATAGAAGGTAAGTGGGGCAGAGGTGAGTAGTTATAGAGCAGTACAAAGCTATGACCCTGTGAGCAACAAACGGAGAGAGCAGGCAAGGTGGGGACGCCAGGTGACCGCGGGGTGAAAGCGGTGGCAGTGCGGCGGGCAGCGAGCGATTGCTGTGATCCAGAATAGGCAGTGGCGGCGGTACAAG